AAACTTTTATTTATTAAATTATAATGTACACAATTTATGCTTTTTCAAAAATGCTATTTTCTTTAAAAAATTCACAAAAAATCTATTATAAATAACAAATATTTCGAGATTTCATGATAAAGCTTTTTCGATTTTTAGAAAATTAAAAAAAATTGTTTAATTTATTTTTAGTTTTAATTTTCATCCTTCAAATTAATTGTAGTAAATATAAATTGTATTAAAAATTGTGTTTATATTTTTTTGAGCAAATTTATAAAAAAAACTATACGTAACAAACAAGACTTCATCACGTGATAGAATTATTTTGTCAAAAAATGAATTGACAAAAAAAATGTCAGGCTCAAAGACTGAGTCGATTTGACATAGAAATAGAATGCTTCTTATAGATATGTGCGTGTATATTACATTAATTAATAACTTAAATTGAAATTAATTCATAATATAATTATTCAATTATTGAATAGTGAATCTTGCAACCATTAGTATTGAACTATAAAGAATAAAAATGCACATGAAAAATTCAATAACCCCAAAAAACCCGAGTTTTTTCAGATCCTGGAAAAAACGGACAAGAGTCTACTTGTTGGTACAAATGCTGTGAAATATTTTTTGATTGATTAATTATTGGTAAAATTCTTTCTTCTGATTCGTTAATCAAGTGCTTCGAAGCATTTGATAAACTATTAAATGTAAGTGAAAAGCTCATCGAGCAGTTGTTTCAACGAGCAGTCGTAAGCCATTTAAATACGTCGTCGAAGGAAAAAAAATTCCTAACGCAGGAATGTTTCGTACGCAGTCGGCGCGCTTGGAGCCTCGGTGATGTGATGACCGGTGATTTTACGAGAAATTCTCCTGTACAGTTAATCGGCTGATGCGTGTCATACAATGTCCGCTTCCTCCTACGTGTTAACGCATTTAACCCGTAATTGGTATGTCTTGTCGTATTCTATCAATTTCCAGACGTACGAATCAGATCCAAAAGAATGTAGCTTAAATACCACAAGTTTCTCGATTTTCTCACATCGTATAGATACGCACGTACGCACGCACAGTGTGCCTTCCAACAAGCGACACAAATGACACGGTATGACACAATGGATCATTACATTCTTGTTGTTTATCAATGTTAAACAAAGATGACATGATCACTATCGTACTGTGTCGCTTGTTTCTCCCCCCCCCCCACACACACGCACGCATGTGTGTATATTCAAGTAAATGTGATATTCGATAAGGTGCAGATATTCGTATGAACGCAGACGTATGACACGCCTTAAATTCTTGTCGTACGTTCTTCATCGGATCTTATAAAATTTTCGCGAATTATATTGCAATGAACTATTATGTATAATGATTTTTTAAATTATATTAAGTAGCATTTCAATTAAAAATGAAAATAAACAAAGGATAACATGTTCTGATAAGTAAGGAATAGAATTTATTTATTTTTAAAACAAGTAAAATACGTAAGATATAATAGTCTAATAAGTATTTCTTCACCAATATGTTCTTTGACCAATTTCAATTAATAGTAAGATAAACGTCATTAATTGATATAAATTCGTTAAATCGACAATTTATAGAATGAGCACAACGTTATCTTAAAGAGTTATCATTTACGATTCGTAGATAAACAAAATTTAGTAATTTATATTATATTTTATTCATTATGTGAATAATATTTCATATTTTTGCAAACGAGAAAAAAAGTCTAAATATGAAAATTATGAGTTGCTTGAATTGTTAATTAATTTATTGGTCACAGACAACGTCTTGTTAAAAAAAATAAAAAGAATAAAAGAGAAAGAAATTGAAGAGTACGACTTTCATTGTTTTTATGTCTCTCATATTTCCTTCCGCTTTGAATTTGCGGAATCGCATTGCCGTCATAAAACGTTATTCGAAATGATGAAACTGTGCTTTTCTGCGAAACATAAATAAACGTTCGATATGTTCGTGCGGTTCGACGAACGATACGAATTTTCACAGCGATGTTTCGGTAAATACAGGTTTTCGGGCCGTGCACGTTTCCGGAACGGGATACGCGGATCTCTAAAATTAGAAGTATTACGAAAAATATTCGCAGCGCAACTAGGGTTGCCAACTGTCCGGTTTTTATGGAATCTTGTCCGGTATCCGGTTAACCCACATTGACCTCCAAAGAAATATTACATAGTAGTTATAACCAAAGATCCAACTTGTCCGAGTGACAAGTCAAACCTAACGTTATATGTCTGATTTTTAAATAGATCCAATAGACAATTTACATTCTGAAAGAAAATTTATAAACAGAGTTTGCAGTTTTTTTAGCGATCCTAATTTTTTTTCTAAAAATCTCAGGGACGCGTTTTATTGACATATGATGTTTGATGTTGTATAATCATTATTATCAGTATCGGCTTAACATAATACTTGATTTGATGTCGTGCTGTCACTTGACGCAACTAGGCACGTCGCGGACTGAGGAGGGAAAAAAAGATAACGAAAAAGAGGAATGGCTTCGTCGATGCGAAGGGGAACGGCTACGAGTCACCGTGAAAATCACGAGCATGACTCATTGCGCTCTTGATTATTTTTGTCATAAAGTCTGAAAATACAATCCAAAGGGCTGCGGCCGATATACAAGAAGAGGTGGGGACTCTGGGAGAGCCTTGAGCTCCTGCCAAAAATGAAGAAAACACTTGCAAATGCATACTCGAAACTGCTCCAATTTATCAGTATGTAATGGCTTCGTCGAATGTACGCATAGATCTTATGAATAGATTTAATGAATAGATCTATGAATGTATGAAACAAGTTGTGAAGCGAAAACCGTAAAAAAAGAGATGTTCGAAATTCACTTTAAGGCTTAGTCTTTTCTTTTCTTGTTAACTTATGATTATATTTAACATGATAATAATATATTTTTTTAGCCATGATTAATCACCAAACTAATAGTTTTATACTAATTTTTAAAGTTATCACTATAAACCCATCAACAAAACAACATTAGTTTAACAATAGCTTAACGATAACGTAGCTAGAAAAATTTGAAAGAGAGAGAGAGAGAGAGAAAGCATTAAGTTAATCGAGATTAAGTCTAAACCTTAGATTAACCGGATAATAAAAAATTGAATCTAAATCAGATAAATCAGATAAGTCATATTTTCTCTTGTCTTTCTATCACTTAACAATTTTTGTCTAACATTTCCGATATGAATGTATGTTTTAACAACAAAACGTGAAAATTATTTGAAAGATTTTTAATATTTATTTAGCTTTTTTCGAAAATAATATTTTAGATATAAGATAAGTACATGCAAGAGAAATATAATCCTATCTTACATTTGAATTATCTTTAGAAAATCATATAATTAAAATACATTTATAAAAGTATAATATACAATTGATGTGCTGTTTGTGTAGTATATATTAGTAACACATGTAATTAAATTATTAAATTGTACTACATTTCGCTTTTCATTTCCTAAGGCTTTATAATTCAATCATGATCTATCACATGATATGTCAATATTGATAATAATAATTTAATTTCCAATAAACATCTTTTTAATAACACGAACTTTTTAGCAAAACAATAAAATAAATTTATTTTATTTGTTTCTATATCCGTGAAAAACGAGGGATTTATTATGAACAAAAACGAAATCGAAATATTATCGTTATGATATTATGATATTTGAATTACTGCAGGTATCACTTATTCAACTTCAGCGATAAGATTAGTAATCTAAAGGAACTGATTTTTGAGCTTGATCATCGTTTCATTCTTATGTAAGTTACTTTTGGCAAACGAGAATATCAATGACTTGTGATATTGTTATGTTCAATTCTTTAGCTACTTTTGTAAGCTCAAATTCTTTTTGAGCTCCGAGGCGTTTCATAAACATAAAAAGAAAGACTTGACATACTTATATCACATATACTCTTAGAGATATTAGGTGTAGTAAAAAGAAATCTATTATTTTTGCATGAAATTGAATGAAAAAATAATGGATTTCTTTTTACTACACCTAATATAAGATAAGAAAGAAAATTATTCAATTGCATTTCTATTATGAAAGTGCACGTAAAATACGAATGATTGATTTTTTTTATGTATACATTTATACAGCTATACAAATTTGTCTGGATAAACCTTAGTGTAAGGTGTTGGATTTCGAGAAATTAAATATTCAGTTCTTTTTTTGTTACAATAAGCAGCTGCGCTTGTGTCAAAGATAAAGGAAAAAACCGACCTAATGTTCTCTCTCTTTTTCTTTCTCTTTTGAAGGGCACAGGTGTACATACTGGATCTCGGTATTATCTATGGTTAGAATGTATTTGCGGTAAGGTGCAACTGACTAAAACAAATGTAAGATATTTTCTTCGAAATTTTCATTATTTTCCCTAATCAGGAGCTTAATGAGTTTCGGTAGAATCAATTCTTCCATTTTTCCTCCAAAAGTTAAAAAGTAAAAAAGAAACAAACAAATTCGATGACAGGTTGTGTGACTGTTCTTTGCGTAAACCGAGAGTTACTTCTATAAAAATATGACATAAAAAAGTGCGAGTGGATGAATTTACAGTCGATGGTGTGGTCCAATTTAAAAAACAATACAGACTGATACAACTAGATTAAGGTTACTATGAAATCTGAATCATCATGAGTATATTATTTCAAAAAGAGATAATTCGAAAATGGAAGAAAGGGATATTTTTTCTACATTAAATGTAGATATTTAATAAAATAAAATTTCTAAATATAATTTTTATTGACAATTTTTATTAATATAATTTTATAAGTAAAAAATTTTAATTAATTTTTAATTAATCTACTAGAACTAGAAGTTTTGGGATTTTTAGGTACAAAAAGTCCACGTGTATCTATTTTAAAAAAATACGGTTGGTAATCCTAGGCTAGATCCGAAAAGACTGTCTCAAGGTAAAGGAAAGAGAAATGCAAGAAAAACAAAGAGAGAAAAAAAGGAAAAAAATCTCAACTGATAACACTTACTCACCTTTTTTTGCTGCTTCTCCCAAGCAGGATCCAAGAGACCCTCCCTCTCCCATTCCTCTTCGGGTGCCATGTATCCATCCCCGTAGGCCTCCATGTCGTTCATCCTGCCCGCTTGTGTATACGTGTCTCACGTTCCTTCAAACGCCAAAAACTTGATGTCACACAACTTTGTTACGTTTGTCTCGTTACAATGGAAGAAAGATTCGGCGGCTAGCGTGAGAGAGAAAAAGAGAGAGAGAAGGAAAAACGAGAAAGAATCCCGAGGAAAAGTTGCAAACGCTTCTTTCCTCTGAAACGGCTGAGAGAAACGCTCGATCAAAGATCGATATGTGTGTACGTTCGTTTGTACGATGACAGCGCGTCGACGCGTATACGGAAGAGTGAGAAAGGGTTTGAGATAAAAAAAATAGAAGGGAGAAAGAGAAGGAAAAAATGATAAAACCAAAGAAGTAATGAGAGCGATGACTAAAGAATGGAGGTGAATTTGGAGGAGGGGGAATTGTGAACGAGAGATTATCTTCGGATCGGCAGAGGGAGAAAGAAAGGGAGAGAAGTGCAACGAGACCCAACAACCCAATACGAAAACGTACCCGCTAAGCCCAGAAAACGTTCGATTTCGTGTCGTTCTTTCCCTCGCGTTGACCCCTCTGCCACGAATCTGACATATACGATTTGCTCGCCGGCGCACGATTTCCCCTACCCCGCCTTAACACCGTATCCGTAACATCCCCGCTACCCCTCGTAGAGGTCCAAGTCTCATTCGCTGTCTACCATTTTCCTTCCAGCTGCTCATAGCCTCTCATCGGGGAAGGGGAGACGAGACCCCTCCCATTCCGACTCCTTTCTAAATTCTCCTTACCCCTCTCTTCCTCGAGCACAACACTTACTTTGTAAATGAAATGCTTGAACAATGCAAAAAAAAAGTCCGATTTGCATTTGGTCTAGAGTGGAGGCGAAAAAACGTCCGTACCGTTACGATACATATACAAAAATGTGACAGTCATAACTATCGAATGAGTTTTTTGTCGTGTTCGACATGGGCTGGGTTCAACAGAACACAACAGTTTTGCAACCGTTTTATGATTCTCTGTTGAGATAGGACCATTCCTCTTGATCTAAAAGCATAATCCAATCAGCAGAAGAAAACTTCCAACAGTTGCAAAATATACATTCTGCTGATTCGCAGCCATTCATCGATTCGTTTAATGCCTAGGCCGCGTTAGGGGATGCGCACAATGAAAGGAATAAAGGGAACAGAGAATAAGAATTACCATCTATCAGAAACTGTGTACACAACACATGATTTCTGATAGGTTGAAATTCTTATTCTTTATTCCCTGTTCCCTATTCCGTTCATTGTGTACAGCTCTTTAATACCTGGTTTATGCTTCGGTCTCAACCTTAAAATCTTAAAATCTTAAAATCTTCAGCTAATGAATACAGATTTCAGTTAGGACCAATTAAGAATGACAGCTGAATTTTAGGATTTTTAGAATTAAGACCGAAGCATAAACCAAGCATAAATTATTCTTTGATGCGTCTAGGGAGAAAAGGAGGGGGAGGGGGGAGCGCTCGCGAGACATTTCGTTACACGAACTTGGGCTCACTTGCCCGAAACTAACCTCCGTCTTTCTCTCTCTCGCGCGCGCATACGCAAGCACGCACCAGTCCGCTGTTCGCTTGCGAGGACGCAGAAGCGACGAAAATAGCGTCAGAGTCGAGTGCAACTCTTTCACCCACACACGCGACTAAAATAGGATCAACGCGCGGTCCGCGCGAAATTCTCGAGTCGATCGAGGCGACGCCATTCTTGTGAGAGATCCTCGGGTATTGTTGCCAACTCGGGTCGTCAAAATCTCACTAGACAGCTTTATATTTCCCGTTAAAAATCACTACTCCTTTGTGTTTTTCTTCATCAAAAACCAATAAGGGCTGTCGCACACAAAATTTTGTAAAGCCTTGTGTCCACGATATTAGAAATCGGACCGAGACCTCGGATGAAGAAAAAATTAATTGCAATGATCACGAAATCAAATTATTCAAATATGATTTGTTAATTTTTTCTTTGTCCGAGATCTCGGATAAATTTCTAACATCGTGGACATTGGGCTTAAGATCGGAATCAGACAACGCATTGAAAATTAAGATTGAAAATTGAAAATTTGACCAATGAGAACAAGGAATTTTAACTCCTATTGTTTTGATTGGTCATATTTCAATTTTTCAATCTTCAGTCTCAATCTTCAATGCAGTCTGATTCTAAACAATATGCATATAAAGATATAAACTTCCGATGAATCAATCAGGATACTGCTTTAGATTACGTAATCTAACAGAAATGGAAATAATAGTAAACTTACCCATAACTTCACAATAAGATGAAGTTCAATCGATTGAAACTCGCCCTATGAATAAGTTTACTGCTATTTCTGTTTCAATTAGAGTACGTCATGGAGTATAGAGAATAAGAGGAGATTAAACTTAGATGGAAATTATCAAAAAGCATGGTCAAAAGGGGTCACCTGAATTAGTTTGATCGAGATGTCGCTTTCGTTCCACAAGCAGGTTGCATGGTAGGATTGGTCAAATTTCAATCTTTCAGTCTTCAATCTCAATTTTCAATGTATAGTTTGATTTCGATCTAAGAATTGTTGCACATAAAATTCCGCAACAATAAGGGTGCTATCCTATGCGAAAATTTACAGCGGAACAGAACAGTGTAACCAATCACAATTCTGCAATCATTATTTTGCTTTCTTTTCTACGATTGTGATTGGTCTGTGCTGTTCCGTTTCGTTGTAAATTTCCACTCATGGGACGGCATCCTAAGACGTAAACTTAAGCTGGTGAGCCAATCAAGATATTGCTAGGTCTACATAATATAACGAAAATGGAAATAACAGTATATTTATCCATAATCATGCAATAAAGTGAATTTCAACTAAAACTCATTCTATGGATAAGTTTACTGTTATTTCTATTTCCGTTAAAATATGTAGATCTAAAGCAGTATGGCTCATCGGTTTATGGCTTCTGCACAGTGAACGCGGAAACGCTTTTCGCGCGGCAAAATATGCGGTAGCCAATAAGCTTACAGCTTCTAATGTGTTGGTTGCCGTGGAAGTTGACGCGATAACCAATCAACGTCTCGCTTGCTCGGAAGTAATAGTTATATAATTTTCACCGCGCGATAAAAGTTGAACTCAATCCAACTTTTAGAGCGCGGCGGAAGTAATATTACATTATTTCTAAAAGTTTTGCATGGTGAAGCCGACTTAAGAATATAGAATTATTGCAATAACTTCCGCATAGCAAGCGTTATCGTGTTTTGTGTGCGGAAGCATTAAGATTACTTCCCAGCAAACGAGAATGGATTAAAATGGATTGAAATTCTTTTCTATCCGAATGTGTATTTTAAAGCGAATACTTTTTTTGGATTTAATTGGATTCAATCGGATTCAATTAGATTCAATTGGATGCAATTAGATTGAAAAACTGCATTTCTTATTCAAAATTTTGAATTGAACAGTATTTATAATGTTGTTGTGTACAAAGAAGAAAGAATTAATATTATTTTTAGATTGAAAGACATAGAGATATGTTACATGCAATTCCTATAAATGAATAAAAATGCATTCAGGATTGAAAAGCATTCATTTTAACATTCGTGAATCAATATTTCTGAAAATCTGAATTTATTTCAATTTATTTCAATCCATTCTCATTGTTTAGTTTATATCATGCATTAATTGATACATCTAACTTACAGTAACTTTCTTTAAATTATATTAATTTTAGCGATATATTCAAAGAATATTAAATTGGTATAATATTCATCAAAATAAATAATTAAATACACATATTTACAGGGTGTCTCAGGCCACCCTTTTTATCTTCGCAGGATAAGATCCAATTAAAAATATGTTCAGACCAAAGTGAAGAATTTTTAAAAAGATCTATTTATTGATCATATCAGTTCATACCTTGCTCGTATTGCATATATTTTGAACGTAATTACATACAATATTATCGTCCAGATGGTTATAAATAATCCCCCCTTAAATTAAATAAAAAATTGTTATCCTCTCTGAAATAATATTTTTCATAATTAAAGTTTCTTATTTAATTTAAGGAAGGATGATTAATGTTTCAGATTGATTGTGTTTAAAAGTCTGAACGTTTCGGCACACAATTACATCTGAGAAAATTTGATCTTCATATATATGTAAATAATCGAATGTTTCGACTCGCAATTATATGTAAATTTATAAATTAAAAATATTATATTATTTGGAACATTTAACTTTGATCGATCATTAGCGCTTTCTATCATATTTATTAAATTTTTTATATAATATATATAAATCTGATATATATAAATCTAAGGGCAGATTATAAATTATTTATAAAATGTAAATTACGCGCCTCAATTTTTTAAGCTAAAGGTAAATAAATCTTCATTTTTATTGTATATATTATCATTTAATATTCATTCGTATTGCATATATTTTGAACGTAATTACGTACAATATCGTCCAGAAATTGGCTATATCTCTTTATCTCTTTCAGTGTATACATATATATATTTCTAATATACGAGAACTTGAAATCTTGTGACTATTGAAACTTTTTTATTGTTGTAAAACCAACTTGTCCGGAGAAAAAATATCGATTTCAAATAATTTTGTCGATTCTGTAGAATTATAGATAATATTAAAAACATATTGGAATATGCCTGTTATATATGTGTATGTTCTTGTACATATATACATATATACATTGGTAATAAAAATTATGATGTAGAAACATTGTAGGCAAAAATTAGCTAAGGCCAATTTTAATTAACGATAATTTTGCGAAGAAATATCGTAGAATAATATTTTTCGTTAAATTAAAGCTTGAAATCTCTACTTTAAAACGATATGACGAGATTTTAAGTTTGATGAATTCCTAGCACTATTAATTCTTAAAATATGAGGGTATATTTGTCATATTGAAAATTGCAAAGTTTGATGGAATATATGAACTTTATAAAATTTTTTGGAAAAATGTCATTTGCAGCGGCATAAAGTTCGAATTTTCCCCTTCAATTTAAAATTTAATGTACTAATTAAATGTACTAAATAATAGATCATAGATTAAGAGATTTGGCAAGACATTGTGTCATTTTCAGAGATATATATCACAAGCTCTAGTACAAATCTAGAATGACATTCCATAGAAAGAAATTAGGGCTTGCATTAATATGAGGAATTGATTGCAAGTAATGAACAATGTGGAAACAATACGCGTCACTGAAACAAAAACACGATGTGGAAAATCTATACATAGAAACATGTGCAAAATCCATTCAGCAACCTTGTCGTAGCGCACATCCAATAATGTCGATAGTATATATTAAAAATGTAACTTTAAAATGCTGTAACTTTGTGAAAAAAAAATCACTTTTTTTTTTAATTGAGGGAGAAATTTCGAACTTAACGCCACTGCAAATGGCCCATTAAAAAAATTCCTTCATTAAAAAAATTTTACAAAGTCTGTGTATTCTATCAAACTTTGCAATTTTCAATATGACAAATACATC